TGTAATGAGTTTCACTTAAGAAAACATCGCGTGTATAAATAGATGCTCTTGTGTTTTGTAAAATCGTCGACTTTTAAGATTCCTAACTATTGGAAAATATATATTATTCTCTGTCTCAATCATATAACTTATTGACATCAGACTGGAAATTAACTTATTGATACTGATTTGAATCAAATAGTATTTCAAAAATCTCGATAATGTTGGATTTTCGAAAGGTTTTCATGATACAATTCAAAGAAAGACTCAAGAACTGAATTCTGCCACCTTCATTCATGAATAACTCAACTGAAATAGAGTTCAACACTGCAACTGACTTCATTTAATGCAATTTCGCTCAATTCTGAATGCAATCTAATTATATTTTCCCGTTTTCTGTTCGCCCATTCAATTTTCCAATCCCGATATAACTAACAGTTACTTCGAACATGGCGTCGATAAAAATATTTCGTTTTTCTCACAATTTGATTACCGCGTTTTCCAATTACCTCTGGAAAATTATCACTTCTTCGAAAGAATTGTTCCAACAGGTGAATTATGGTTGTTTCGATATTAATTTCGTCGTAAATCTACTTCGATTTGAATGGAATCGGTTTATTTCTATTGCCAGTGAATGGTCTATAATGTAGGACTGTTTACCTCAATACTAGTAACTGGGGTGAATAGAAAATTCGATGTTTCAGTTATGAAAATGTGAGCTTTGATGAATTCATTTTCATATCATTCAAGTTGGTATTTACCTTCGATGTGCGACTCTGTTCCAAAAATGTTCCATTCGAAGTAGTAGCGATCCGGTTTATATCTCCCCAATCATTGCAAAACGCTATCCTTCCATGGGTCTCTGCAATCCTGGGAAGAAGTCACAGGGAGGCAAATCTGGTGGATATGGTGGCTAAAGCGTGATTACGGTGATGTTTTTGGTCAAAAAACCATGAACAAACTATGACAAGTTAGCTGATGCATTATTGTTATGTAGAAGCAAAGAAAGATTCTCCCACAATACCTTACATTTTCGTATTGATTCTCTCAAGCGACGCATAACTTCAAGATGATATTTATAATTGTCCATACAATCACGTGACAAGAACTCCTGATGCACTACGCCACGGTAACTGAGAAAAACAGAGAGTAAAACTTAACATTTGATCGAAAGTTGCGTGCTCTTTTGGTCTTGGCTCTCCTGGGTCCTTCCAATGGAATGATTCTATTTTGGTTTCGACACCACAGGTTAAGACTTTTCCAAGCAAATCTGAATCGTGGTCGACGTCGTTAAACAATCCCTGATCGATGTTCATGCCACGGTTTTTGATAAAAATTCAGCAATTGGGCAGTATCCCAAGGATCAGTTTTAGGGCCATATCTATTTCTCCTGTATATAAATGATATTTCTCTCTTAGATATATCTAGTTCCTTCACTTCATTTCCCGATAACACTACCATTGTATGGCACTTTGAAGATGTGAATTTGCTTCCAAAAAATGTTACAACAAACCTTAAAATATCTAGTCGTCGTGCGATGCGAATTTTCTATGTTTAAATTTCAATGAAACAAAATTTCTCACATTCAAATGCCTTCTTCCGGATATAGAATTAGATGCTGACTCTATATCATCTGACAACAATATAAATATCTTGGGACTCATCATTGATACAAATTTAAAGTTCACAAATCATATTAACATGCTAAACAAAAAATTATCATCAGGCTATTTTGCCCTCAGGTCTACAGCTAGAAAGTTAGGTTATGCTGCGGCAAAAAATGTTTATTTTGCTCTCATTGGGTTAGTGTACTGATGAACTCTTTGGGAGTGTATTTTTGCTGCAAAAGCGAGTTGTGCTGTATTTGTGCCAAGTAAATAAGTTGAGTTTCTGCAAACCTCTTTTCCTGAAACACGGAATACTGACACTAACCTCAATCTACATTTTAGAAGCCACATGTCTCGTTCACAACAATAAATCTATATGGAAATAACAATAGCACTGCACGAAATGTAATGAATTTATCATTAATCGTCCCTAAATCCACACTGATCAAAGGCTCAATAATTTAAGTCGGTGTCAAAATGTATAATAAACTTTCATTAAAAATTGGCATTTAAACCCTATTTTAATGACGAAACGATATGAAATTGACGGTGCTTATATGTTATAATATATGTGTATTTTTACCTAGATGTGATTATTTACATGTATTATTTTCATGTAATTATGTATTTGTATATTTATCTGGATGTAGTTATTCACATGTTGTCTTGGATAATAAATACATACTCTCTGTCTCTCTTTTACATGATCTACACATCCATGTATAGAGGTACTTATTTGCAAATTGATTACTTCCTTTCTTCCTTTGGAAGATTTCCTCATCCTTTTTTTTGCATCAAGATGGGGTAGTAGAAAGCCAAAAACTTTCTTTCCCAAAAATTAATCACTCCTAAAAATATAAGCCCTTCAATTTAAATGTTGAGTATTGCTCATATAGCCCATATATGAGCAATTGAAAAAATGAGGTGAATGGAAATTTTGCGGGCTACGTACATTTAATTATCGGTTTTTTTATTTTGTTATGTTGATACACTCGTCTCGAACATATGTGCACAGTTTGAGCTATTCAGCATGTTCAATTTGTCGGTGGAAGACATAAAAGTTAAAAGTGTTTTGCGTGTTTGTCGATTTTCTGCTACCGAAAAAAATTGGATCGAATTTCGTGTAAAAAATGGAATTAAGTGCTCATAAACACTTGAAATATTGACAGCAAATGTCCCAGCACATCAAAAATCGATGAAAATGTTGAAGAAGTGAAAATAATTGTAACGGAAAATCGTCGGATCACTATAAAAAAAGTTGCTGAGGATGTCGGTATGTCGGCTGGCTCACGCTATGCAATTTTTTCGAAAATTTTGGGCATGAAGCGTGTGGCAGTGAAGTTCGTTACAAAATTGCTGAATTTTGTCCAAAAACACCCACGCTTGAGCAACGCTCAAAAATTGTTGAATGACGTTAATGACGATCCAGATTTGCTCAAGAGGGTCATAAGTGATGACGAATCATGGGTATCTGGTTGTGATATCGAAACCAGACTCCAATCGTAACAATGGAAGAGCCAAAGGGAGCCAAGACCAAAAAAAGCACTCCAAATTCGATCAAATGTCGAGGTTTCGCTCACTGCTTCCTTCGATTATCGTGGCGTTTTGCATCAGGAGTTTTTGCAACACGATCGTTCGGTCAATAAGGGGTATTATCTCGATGATGTAGATGACATAATAAGGAAGAAGAAGTTTAGGTCAAGAATGAACGAAATCTCGACTTTCAGAAAGGACAAAACCCAAGATAAATACATCTCAGTTCCATACCACCAATATACGAAGAATTTTGGAAATATTTTCAAGGAACTAGGTATGATGGTGGTTTTTAAAACAAATCAGAGCCTTTTGTACAGAGTACAGAGCCTTTTGGGAAATCCAAAAGACAAAGTCGAGAATTTGGGAAAGTCTAGAATTTACGAAATTGAATGTAAGGACTGCGATGCAAAATATTATGGACAGACAAGAAGTTCTATCAAAGTAAGATATAAGGAACACATAGCACACTTGAAATATGGGAGACATGAAAAATCAGCAGTCGCCCATCATATTTTGCAACAAACCCATTAGTTAGACAAGTTGACAACAACAGGCAACTAGATGCCTATGAGAGTATAGAAATAAGTAAACACAATAATATTATGAATAAGGATGACGGACCTATACCAAAGAGCATACTATATAGCTTGTTGAAATAATATTGTTGGGTTTACTGATTACTACATAAGGACACAGTGCAAAAATAAGTTTAAATAGGCAATATTGTAAAATTGATTTTTATATAGCTGAAAATTGTTTTATATACAGCTATAACAGTTAAAAATATATTGGTTAATAATAGATAAGGCAAAATTGTAAAATACATTTAGGTTGGTATCCCTGTATGGGTGGTACACCTGGATGGTTTACCTGTATGGGATATCTATATAGCATAAATAGCGTTAGCTTCGCGTTAGTTTCCAGTTTAATCTTCCTCTTTGAAAATGATCACTTGGTGATCGAAACACGTGTCGAGGTGTTGAAAATAACGATTTGGTGTTGGGGAAAAAACTCCAGTAATATTCGGTATTATCTCGAGGTTATGCGCCGCTTGCGAGAAGCAATACGAAAAAAACGTCCAGTATTGTGGAAAAACAATTCATGGCTTTTGCATCACAATAATGCACCAGAAACAATACATTAATCATGCCAAAGAGTGCATATCAGAACTGCTTCGAGGATTGGTAAAAACGCTGGCACAAGTGTATTATATCTGAGAGAAACTACTTTTAAGGGGACAGAATAGAAATTGATAAATCAATAAATATTTTTTGAGGAAACTGCAGTAACATTAGTTGCAAATAAAAGTGGTAAAAACATAGAAAGTTCCAATTCTCTTTTCTTCATTATGATTTCCTACCACGTAGTATCGGCTACATCCATCAATTTATTGGCTGTATATCTTTTTTGATAATAGAGAATGTATTAGACTGCTATCGTGATCATTGTTGACGACTATTTGTTTTATTAAGTTCAGTTCTTTATTGAAATTCGCCTCTGACAACGGAACATTTATCAGTCTGTGAACCATACTGTTGAATGCTGCTACTTTGTGGTGATACGGGTGGGTGGACGAATTATGAATGATAATATCTGTATGTGCCGGTTTACGATAAATTGAAAAATCTTGTTTTTTTGTTAACTTTTGTTATTGTCAAGTCCAAAAACTGTATAGAGTCTTCCTTTTCCATCTTCATGGTGAATGTGATAGAAGGGTGGGAAGAACTGATGAAATTCAAGAACTTAGTCAACTGTCTGTTCGTTCCTTTGAAACATACCAGGATATCATCCACATATCAATACCAATACACAAAACTTCCTACCAGTGGGTCACTGTGTATTTTCTTCTCCAACTCGTCCATGAAAATCTCTGCCAGAATGGGACTAAGTGAGTTTTCTCAATGACGACTTGGAGAGGAAAATACAAAGTAACCCACTGGTAAGAAGAATCCTGGTATGATTCACGTTTCACAGAAACGAACAGACAGTTGACTGAGTTCTTAAATTTCATCAATTCTTCCCACCTTTCTATCACATTCACCATGGAGATTCATCGCAAACCAGCACATACAGATATTATCATTGATAATTCGTCCACCCACCCGTATCAGCACAAAGTAGCAGCATGCAACAGTATGATTCACAGGCTGATAAATGTTTCCTTGTCAGAGGCAAATTTCAATAAAAAACTGAACATAAAACAAATAGCCGTCAACAATAATTACGATGGCAGTCTAATACATTCTCTATTATCAAAAAAGTTATTCACCCAAGCTTTGAAGGAAGTAAATCCAATTCGAAGAGAAGAGGCCGACCCACTACAAATATTTCAAATTTTTTGCACTGCAAACGTGTAACATGCCCAACATGCCCAACAACGAATTGGGCATGCACATTGGGAATAACGAAGATAAAAGTTCAATTTCAGAAAAATCGGGAGTGTATAAATTATCATGTGGGTCATGTCCAACGTTTCATATAGGTCGAATTGGAAGAATGTTCAAAGCCCGCATGAAGGAACACAAACATTGTTTTCGGAATGGAACAATAAATTCCACATATGCCACTCATTTAATCATAGAGAGACAAGAGTTCAACCATAAATTCGAGCCCCTCCATTTCCAGAAGAAAGGTTTGAAACTTAACCTGTTGGAGAGTGTAGGAATAAACAAATTGAAAAACTCTCAATATCCTATGAACGATCAAACTGAACTGAATAATTAATGGATTAAACGACTTACCTTAAGGAGGTTCAATCCAAATTATATGAACATGTTTGTTCTCCAATATATAACCTCTCAATATCCTATGAACGATCAAACTGAACTGAATAATTCGCCATTATTGAATCTGTTTATTTCCAGGTAAGAATAGTAGATTTACGGTAGGTACTTTCGAAAAATTTAATTTATTCATATAGATAATGAATTCATACCTGACCTTTTCAGATCGATTCATTCATTAGAAAGTAGACATATAAGTAGGCATATAGAGTATGAAATGGTTATAATTCTGAAGTAACGTTTACTTTTACGCTTGAGAAAGCTATTGTATAGCGAAACACGTGTCGCGCGGTTATTGTAGAACCCTTTATAGTGAAAATCATACAATATACTGTATCAATTAGTTTTAATGAACGTTCTATCTCTTAATATGTTCCAAATATATGTATATATTACACCCTTAATATCTTGTATATGGTACATGAACTTTCATTCGCAGTTGAAGCACATATCTAATTATTTATTTTCCAGGAAACGTTTTCGGAACCATATTGACTATGCCAGTGGTGGGATTCTTATCTTCCTCCTGGTTGGGATGGCCGTCAACCTTCTACCTGTTTGGTTGTTTGGGTTATGCATGGATATTACTTTGGTTCACTTTTGGAGCAAACAGTCCTTCTGAACATGGTAGCATTACTGATTTGGAAAAAGATTACATTTCAAAATCATTGGGAAATGAAAACAAGGAGGTGAGAATCATTTACTGATTTTTTTCCACTCACAAAATTGATTGAAAGAAAAATCAGAGTCATTTCGTTTAATAAACTTGATAGTTTCTCTTGGATGCCATGATTGACCATTTGTGGAAAACGCTGATGAATAGCTAACATATAAAATAATGTATATTATGAACGCTTTATTGGTTTTAGCGGGAGATGACCGTTTGGCGGGAGTTGGTCGTGTTTCGCTTGATTAAAGGTTTCCATATGTTGCAAATCACTGCGCTAGGTTGACTAAATGCGTTGTTGGACAACATATATGCAGCTTCTTTGAATTTTCTCCTAAACCAGTGTTCCTCTTTGTGGATGATTTCAGCTTCAGCCCACTTGATGTTGTGTTGATGAGTACAAACATGCTCTGCTATTCCGGATTTGCTGGTTTCTCCTTGCTGTGTGTGTTTCTTGTACTCAGCAATGCGAACTTTCAATGGTCTCTTCAGTTTTACCGATGTATGATTCTCCGCAGTCGCAGGGTATCTGGTAAATGCAATTCTTGGAAACGCAGTGCGCCTTTGGTGGCTTGGTTTTTGTGAGGCTGCCACGGATAGTGTTCCCAGATCTGAAGCAGGTCCTGATGTTATACTTGAACCCAATCCTTCTTAACCTTTCCGATAATCCTCTGATATAGGGAAGTACAGGTACTGGTTGTGGCGGCTTCTCTTCCTTGTGGGGTTCTTGCTGTCTTCTAGCTAAAGCCTGTTCTGTCATCAATCTTGAGTAACCATTCCGTTGAAGATCATTTTCGATGATGCCTAGTTCCTTTTTGAGACCTTCCTTTGTATTACAAAGCACGAAAGCACGGTCTAGTAGAGTCTTGATGATTCCTCTCTTAGTCGATCAATGATGGTTGGATTTCTGGTTCAGATACTGTCCTTTGTGAGTTTTCGATATACAGATGTTTCTCATTTAGTGTCGGTCTTCTCTTCACCAATACGTCTAAGAAAGTCGATTCTACTTCCTTCACCATTGTGAAAGTGATGGAAGAACTTACGTTGTTGATGTGCTTCAGGAAAGTGTTTAATTTTCAGCTTTTATTAATATTTCAATTTTTTATTTTATTAGTTGTTGCTTGTATGTTATTTTTTGTAATTTCAATTTTTTGTTTGATGGAACCGTTACTTTCGGTTGATCTTTTTAATTTTTTTCAGGGATTTCAAATCAATTTATATTATATCAGAAAATGGAAGTAAGAACTGATGATATACATTCACAACTTATGTAATGTTTTTATGTCGTTATGTCGTTATGAAATAGGTGTATAACCACTATTTCCTGAAATGTCTTCAAGCTTGTCGAGTAGGTTTTATTCAAGTCTCTCCACAGCTGAAACTAGACACTTTATCAATATGTGTTTTGCCGAGATTGCTATTTCAAATATGTATCGAGAGTTTGTTTCTATTTACAAGGTATACTCGAAAAGATGAGAGTAACCTTGTTAACCATAAAATTAATTCATAATATCTAGAGAGGTTTGAGCACTTCGAAAATGGGAAAGTAATCACATGACGGTAGAAATAATCGATTGTCAAATGTAAAAAAGAAACAATTACACAGTTTTTTATTGAATGCTCTGAATAAAACCAGAGATATCTGCATCTCTGACATGAATCTCTCAAATTTATTTCGAAGAATAACTTTTTGTCATTTTCAGTACTGCTTTATTCAGCAGGTATAAATTACGAATGAGAAATTTTTTTAAGAAACATATACTCACCTGAAAAATCTTTTATTCTAGTTTCTGTTTCATCCCAAGACTAAGATATTTGGAGGACGGTGTTTGGAAAATAATGAAACAGCAGAGCACATACCTACTTTGTGCCTGCTCCGCTGTGAGACGAATCAGGTTTTCAAAGTTTGGCAGATTTTCACTCTTGCTTTTTCACGCGAGAGATCAATCACCGTATAAGCTAGACGCATTAGAGTTTGAATATGTGTGAGCAACTCTCACGGGTGGCAGTGGAAGTTCGAATTGACCAACTCACTTTGGACCTAACATAACCATCCAACGTCTCAGCATAAACACAACATTAGCTCTTGAAATTTTCATCTGCACTGATATTCATGACGTGAACAGTATCATTTTAAAAATGTTGTGGATTTTACAGCCTATCACTTTTTTCTTCTTTGAAACCTCATTCGATCTTTTCAGATTCATTTTATTATACCACTTCTCAATAAAGTAGTGGTAAGTTTGGTAAACAATCACTACTTAGGATCCAATTGAATCATCTACCCATGTCAGTTTTGTTCCAGAAGAAAACAGTCTCTGTTGCGTGTCGTTGCAGACTTAGTCGAGACCCTGCAGTGAGGCAAACACTCACTATGGAATGAGAGATTTTCCTAGTGGGAAGTCGCGATTCGTTTCAATGAATGACAAGCGGTCATTTCCAATTCAGAATGAACACAAGGTTAGGTTAGGTTAGGTCCAAAGTGAGTGGGTCTATTCAACCCTCCACCGCAACCCGCAGGGTTCTGTTGTGGCTCACACATATTTACACTCGGCCAAATAAACCCAACTTCTTAACGAAGCCGATTAGTGTGTATGATGAGTGGTCTTTCAGGTCAGATGGTTTGAGTACGGCTCTGTCGAACTCTGAAGACCTGATTCGGTCCACAGTGGGGCAGGCACAAAGTATATGCTCTGGTAATTCTGGTAATGAGATTGTCGGATTGTAAAGTTGCAAGATTCCCACCTTGATATCTATGACAACCATCTCATATGACGTACGCCGCTCAAGAATTTGAGGTACAAGGCGGTTTTATGAGGAGGTCCGCTCTTGAGGAGATGACTCAGTCGTTTCCTGGATGCATCACCAAACCGTTTTAAAGGTTCCTTTGTTGGATCAGGAGTTGGGGAGTTGAGAAGCTCTCGCTCCTGAACTAACTTTACAAGGAGGTCAGTTGGAGTCGTAAACTCGACATACATCTCCTCTGTAGACTCGATCCTGAACTAAATTCACCGGGAGGTCAGTTGGAGTCGTAAACTCGACATCCATCTCCTCTGTAGACTCGCTCCTGAACTAAATGTACAGAAATGTCCGTTGGAGTCGTAAACTCGACATCCACCTCCTCTGTAGACTCGCTCCTGAACTAAATGTACAGAAAGGTCAGTTGTAGTCGCAAACTCGACATCTATCTCCTCTGTAGACTCGCTCCTGAATTAAATTTACAGTGAGGTCAGTTGGAGTCGTAAACTCGACATCCATCTCCTCTATAGACTCAGTGTCAGAAATAATTTTCAAGAGTTCTCTGTCCATAAAAGTCCCATGAGTAGCTAGGAAAAGAAGGTCAATCACGACAGAGTCCCGCATTATCGTGACAAGGCGATGCTACGACGAAAGGGCGCCGAAGGTTCCGTAAAGACAGCTGATAGGATTAGTGTCATTCATCCTCTCGGCACGGATACACACACACACCTTAGGATTAGGCCATCGTTGGGATTCCATTCAGTTAGGGAATAAAAGAACCACAAATGATTCTGTCATTCCCGTATCCAGCGGACCTACGTGGAAGCAGGCATCCGATGGCCGGTTAGCTCAACCCCCACATTTCAAGCCAATGTACTCGCCGAAAACAGCATGCACAGTGGTTCAGGCAGTGAAAGATGATCAAGGACAACCAACCCGCCTCAAACTCAAGGTTCAGTCTTGGAATCCCTACTATTCATCGTTCACATAAATATCTCGATAACCAATACACGAAACTGATAGCTGATGACACTATTTTTATAATTCTTTACAAGGACGTTCAAAATTTTCAAACATATCGATCGGTAAGAGAACAAATTTTGTATGTCCAAAAAGGTAGTTTTGAGTTAAATCGATTTAAAAGTTGAGCTCACTGTGGCAAGCCTGCCTAGTTTGTTTTAGTACTGCAATAGTAATTCATTTCTTCTGACAAATATTCTCTCGTTAGTATTCAGTTTTTCGTTTCCGTTAGTGCTAATATTCACCAAATTTCTGTCATTTAACTAAATAACGGTAACCGATCACTTAGACATACAATAATTGTAACTTAGGTTACGGACATATAGTATCATATATTGAATATCCTTATTCTTATTATCCACAATAAAATGTTACGCTATTGAATACATAATGTCAAAATCGAAAATGATTACAGTAACTGAAATATTTTTTATTGACTCAACAATAAGTTGAAACAAAGTTGAGATAATCAGATTCACCTGGTACAAAATCTCTAACTGCTTCAGATGTAGGTAACGCCTCCACAAAGTTTCTAAAGCCCTCATGGATTACTTTCTCGCTTAGTAAATAAAGTAGGTACTTTTTTTCACCATTTGAAATTGGCAGGATTTTACCATACTGAGGTACAATTTGTACGTTACGTACTTATTCAAATGTTTAGTGCCTTCTTGAATGTTAAATGTCGAAAAACCTTTATTTGTAACATCATACTCAAATAGAATGCTTGATCAATTTACTTTTGGGAAACCTAACCATTCAACCCCACCCAACAAACAATACAACAAAAGGACTTATTGGTATCAGGTCAAACAATAAGTTTAATAATTTAAAATTTTGGATATCAATTAGTGAGTTTCTGATCTAAATCACAATTCTTCTTTTACGATATTGGGCATAATAATTTACCCATTTATTGCTGAAGGTACGAAGTCGTCCTCACGTGCCATATTTGATCTGGCCTACAGAGAAGTAACGTATCGTGAAATCATATAGACGAACAATTTGTTCAGGCCACTCTCAACTCCCTACGTTATAGGTTAATGGGCTGACACCTATCGGAAAACAACTACTCCCCTGGCTAATACCACGAAGGGCGTTGAATTATATCCGACAAGCGTCAGTGCAATTGACAATACAACTGAAAGAGTCGACCTTCAATTATGGAACGGGCACACTTGCAGACCGGTTTCGGGCTTATTAGCCACTCATCAGTGCAAGATAGTGACCATCATCGACCTAAAGTCAATGATATTCCACAATTGAAAATCGGAATTCTTTCAGAGTATTTCATTCCTCTTCCGAAGTTGGAGCGAACATCAAAAATGTCACTCCATCTAGTGGACGAGGAACTAACCAACTGCACATCCGTAATTTGCCCGATTCCTCTAAATAAGGAATAAAAACTTTCTTATTAGTCAATGGGCTATGCTTGAAGACTGGCAATAAACAAATCTAAAGCAAATGGAACTTCAAACGTTCAAGCCAGTCTCTATATACCTACACAGTAGGTTTAATGGACTGACGCCTATCAGAAAACAACTACTCCCCTGGCTAATACCACGAAGGGCGTTGGATTATATCCGACAGGCGTCAGTGCAGGAATCTTCACAGAAAATTTCCTGCATATGCAATTGGCAATACAATTGAAAGAGTCGACTTTCAATTTTGGAACGGGCACACTTGCAGACCGGTTTCGGGCTCATTAGCCACTCATCAGTTCAAGATAGTGGCCATCATCGACCTAAAGTCAATGATATTCCATAATTAGAAATCTGAATTTTTTCATAGCATTTCAATCCTCTTCCTAAGTTGGAGCGAACAACAAAATGTCACTTCATCTAATGGACGAGGTACTAATCAACTGCATATCCGTAATTTGCCCGATTCCTCTGAATAAGGAAGAAAAACTTTCTCATTAGTCAGTGGGCCAAGCTTGAAGACTGACAGTGAACAAATCTAAAGATATTAACTTTAAACGTTCAAGCCAGTATCGAATATATCTACACAGTAGGTTGAATGGACTGATGCCTATCAGAAAACAACTACTCTCCTGGCTAATACCACCGAAGGACGTTGGATTATATCCGACAGGCGTCAGTGCAGAAATCTCCACAGAAAATTTCCTGCATATGCAATTGGCAATACAATTGAAAGAGTCGACTTTCAATTTTGGAACGGGCACACTTGCAGACCGGTTTCGGGCTCATTAGCCACTCATCAGTTCAAGATAGTGGCCATCATCGACCTAAAGTCAATGATATTCCATAATTAGAAATCTGAATTTTTTCATAGCATTTCAATCCTCTTCCTAAGTTGGAGCGAACAACAAAATGTCACTTCATCTAATGGACGAGGTACTAATCAACTGCATATCCGTAATTTGCCCGATTTCTCTGAATAAGGAAGAAAAACTTTCTCATTAGTCAGTGGGCCAAGCTTGAAGACTGACAGTGAACAAATCTAAAGAAATTAACTCTAAACGTTCAAGCCAGTATCGAATATATCTACACAGTAGGTTGAATGGACTGATGCCTATCAGAAAACAACTACTCTCCTGGCTAATACCACCGAAGGGCGTTGGATTATATCCGACAGGCATCAGTGCAGGAATCTTCACAGAAAATTTCCTGCATATGTAATTGGCAATACAACTGAAAGAGTCGACATTCAATTTTGGAACGGGCACACTTGCACTGATGAGTGGCTTATGAGCCCTAAACCAGTCTGCAAGTGTGCCCCTTCCAAAATTGAAGGTCGACTCTTTCAGTTGTATTACCAATTGCATATGCAGGAAATGTTATGTGAAGATACCTGCACTGACGCCTCTCAGATATAATCCAACGCCCTTCGTGGTATTAGCCAGGGGAGAAGTTGTTTTCTGATAGGCGTCAGTCCATTCAACCTACTGTGTAGGTATATTGGAGACTGGCTTGAAGTTAATTTCTTTAGATATTAATAAATGTGTTGTTTTGTTAGAATGCAGATAAGTGCCCAAATATTGAATGTGACATAGTTCATTTGTGCACTATGATTATGCTTTTCTACTGGACTTGTATTGATTGTTATCTTAATAACTTTCAAGTGGACGTACAATATTAGGACGCCATAAAGATTTCACTTCGAACGATACAATAATCATAATATCTCATTTTCTACAAAAATGGATATACAATATTTGGCCTCTCAGCCATCGATATTTTGAATCTACATTATAAATGGCAAAGTAATGATTACGAATGCTCAGCAACGACTAATCATTATTATTTACCAATTACATAATTACAAGGGTGTTCCTCACGCCTGCCTATTTCAGTTTATTCCATAGTCATTTGACATACTGCGTTCTTGAATGAACGAATGAATATTATGATCATGTAACTTTTATTTTATACAATAAGTTCCTTGATGTTTTTTTCGGTCTTTTACCTTTCACAATTCAAGCAAAATGTGGATCAACAGTTCTCAAAACCGGAAAATATTGTTATTGAAAACACCTCTGATAAAAATAATGTCCAAAAATTCAGCTCATATTTTTATTTTCCTTTTCACCTTTTCGCCTCAGTAATTGTTAATGGGTACATTTTATTTTATAGAGTTCTCCTAAGAAGTTCCTTTTCACATGCAACTAATGTTAACGGAATCATTTTGATTATTTATTTTTGTATCCAATTATGAAAACAAAGATTCTTATGTACAATAACATTTTCATGTATATTACATATTCATTTCAGTAGGAACCAAAAAAAGTTAATAATACTTGTTTTACACTGCTGTGAATTGAATAATAATTTCGTCATGCTCATAGATTGCAGTTTTTATTCAACCTGTTTGTGACCCCGGTGTGTTTTATAGGTCAATAGTCACTTTGTAATTGTTTGTATTGTAGTATCAATAAGTAAACATCACCTTGTGGTCATATGCTGAAGGTGACATGAAATAGTTATACTCCAGTTTTCATTGGGAATGAGATCTGAGAACAGAAGGAGAATTTCACAACTGTTTGGTAACTCAGGGAAACTTCATTAAAGATATCATGAAAATAATGTTATTTAATTTCTGTGAAGACGGTGATCGTCATTGACAGAAATAAAAAGTCTCAAAAGTGAACTGTTCTGGAAAGTTAATCGAAGACACATGTGTGAAAAAGAATAAAGTGAATGAAAACATGAATTTTCAATGGAGTGGTATTTTACCATCATTTTTTGAAATTGAATGTTCATGAAACCCGTGGATGAGCTCAAAGATTTAATTTCGACTAATTTTTTCCATTATCAACCATTTCAATAATTGATCTATATTGATTTCATTTTATTAATTTCAGAAAACTCCTGCACCATGGAAAGCAATACTCACATCATTACCTGTATGGGCAATTGTTATTACGCATATTGGACAAACATGGGGCTACACTACATTGATTACTCAAATCCCGAATTATATGAACAAAGTGATGAAGTTTGACATAAAAAGTGTGAGCATTTTTTTGAAACACTCCTCCTATTATAAAAGTAGAGATATTGTATAAAAGGGATAAGTATTTTCTTCATCTACACTTTTACTATCTCAACTCTTTCTGTTCATTCGAACTCCTGTTATTACTTATACATCAAATATCACCTGCACTGAAGAATAAACTATCATTACAAACAGTTATTGCAAAAAACTGAAAATTAACGAATCCCCCACTGGAATGGGAATTATGTTATTCAGGCTAGGTGATTGTGGTTCAATGGAGATTTTGGAAGCAATGTATTGCGACTTCTTACTTAGTAGACTTGTTAATGAAGAGGTTATATTGACGCAACTACCGCTGAAGATGCCTATCGCAACTATTGTCGAAACGTTTGGAGACAATCTCTCCATTGGCACACGGCTACTCAACCCACATAACCATAGTTTTATTCAACTTGCGATTTCATGAATCACCCCGACCAGGTATAATTGCTTAATGATGATTTCACGAGTTTTCTATGTAAATCACATCAATGCCTCCTCGGAACATTACTGAAGTCTTCACAAGACTGGTGGGAGCTGTCTGAGCACACTCAAGGAGCTAAGTACCCAAAATAGGGTCATTGTTGCTTGGGTACCCAGACATGAGGGTCACAAGGGCAATGAGGAGGCCGATGTTCTAGCTCGTGAAGGCGCATCCAAGGCTATGATCGGCCCAGAACCTTTCTGCAGGGTAGCAAAAGCATGTATAAAGACATCCATAAACTCATGGATGCAATCCGAATCGATAGATTGATGTAATGAACTCCCAGGAATGAGGCAGGTGAAAGAGTTCATACAAAAACCATCGCTCAGATTCACGGAAGACCTACTAAACCACAACCGTAAGGTTATAAGGGTAGTGGTGGGTCTACTAACGGGACACAGCCGGCTCAGGAAATATATGAGCAACATGGGTCTAACAGAAGTAACCCAATACAAGTTCTGTCAAGAAGAGGAAGAAAACGTACTGCATGTGCTCTGTGAATGCGAAGCGATAGCAAGGCTGAGATACGCAAGATCCGGGGAAGAAAAACCAGAGGTTGCCAGCTATATGAAGGAGTCAGTGTCAATGCTATGGAGTTCTATCAAAGCATCAAGCTAGACAATGAGCTCTGATGACCAATGAGCACCAAAATGGATATGAAACGGTTGCAGTGAATCAGGTCATGAGCTAGCTCCCAACAATCTAATCTAGAACATTACTATTTATGCTCTGCTCAAGTTTTCATTGTAATGTTGAGGTTAGCAGAAGAGGCCAATTTTGTTTTGTCTTCCTAATTCTGTACCTAACTTTAAGAAGTCTTTCATTTCATGAATCTCGGGCACTAAGTCTCTGCTGTATTGTTTCACTTATAAAAAATTACCCTAAGCTATAGCGGACTGGGATTCATAACTTCATTAGTTAGGCATACACTATTACGATGCTGATATACTTCCGCCAATTTGATTTGGTAAGGAAGAAAGAATGGAATAATATTTTTTTTCGATTTGAAAAAGTTATATAGGAAAGGAGTACCTGCCTGAAACACCTTTCTATTCAGTGCACTCCCTTGTTGAAAAAATCAAAAAACAATACTCAAATGAAAATCGATACTGATGAACTGAACTTTCTTTTACCGGATTGGGAAACACAAATTTTTCTAGAATATGAAAATCAACGGAAAATGCTGAAATAGATAACCACTAACAGTATGTCAGTACATGGTTATATCCACAGAGTTCAGATACTGTCGAAGAAGTTATCGGTTGTTAATATTAATTGACCAAAGATTTTCACGTCATTTGAAATATTTTGCCCATTTTTTTTTATATCCTCGTTATTAACTTTTCACCAAATTTTTAATTCATCGATCTCACATCATCGTACTTCTCAATGAAATATGGTTCTGGAAGACTAACACAAGTAACTTGTGTTAATGATTGTGTTGTGAAATATTGTCTAATGCTGCGGTACTTGAGTTCATCAGTGACTTGTGACTTTCAGAAATAAATTTATGATGGTGAACTGTTGGATTTCTCATAGCCACATGGCATTCAAAATAGTTCTAATGAATATTCATAATTTTTTTAAATGAAAATGATCAAATTGTTTTGGTCTTCTCAAGAGGTCCCAGTTTTGAGTACTTAACGTAAGTTTTTCAAACTACCTCTCAACATAGTGGCTATCTTTTGATGACATTTCTTGCTCAACGAGATCGATAATTTTTTATCTCTGGACTTCATATAATTATTCTGTTATTGCGTCAAATTGAATCCTACAACTGAAAACATTTTTTTCTATGCTACAGTAAATTGGAAAGTTCACCCCAAAAAGTTACTGCGTAATATACACCACTGAATCCAATCAGTCAGTAAACATTGAAAATTATTACTTAGCTTCTTTTAGTGGTCGATATTTCGAAATAGGAATTGGAGGTATCATAGTTTGAAGCGAGAGTTTCATAGTAAATTGCAGTGAAAACTGAAAAGGATTCTTATCCGAAACGACCACTAAAGAAAGTTGAGTACTGATATATAGTTGTGATGCACTGTTTGTAACCTTTGGTGTAGTAATGAATATTACTGGAGTTTTTCCCATCACAAAACCGTTATTTCACCACCTCGACACGTGTTTCGATCACCAAGTGATCATCTCCAAGAGGAAGATCAAACGGGTTTGATCATCAAACTGGTTTGATCTTACTCGTGAAGATGATCACTTGGTAATCGAAACACGTATCGAGGTGTTGAAATAACGGTTTGGTGTTGGGGAAAAGACTCCAGTAAGATTCTTTACTGATATATAATTTTTTCAATTTGTTTTTTATTTGTAGGCAAAATTTATTAATAGTGGTGTATATTACGCAGTAAATTTTCGTGGTGAATTTTTCAGTTTAACCTTTATTATACTTCAGCAGATTCTCTTTTGATTTAACTTTCAATTTTCAGATTTTGGAAGGTTATATATCCAAAAAGCAGTAGAAAATATTGAGTCCTTCACAAAAAATATCTTCCAAAGATCGTCATATCAAATTCTTATCGAATTAAATGAAGAATTCCGAATGGAAACGGTTGTAGCATTATGACAATATATTAGATATGAAAATTATACATAAATGCTTCTTCAACCAAGAAATCATTGAGAAAATAACCAGAACCAAAAACGAAACATTTGTAATCCAATACCAGACGGCATTGTTTCGACTCACCATAGGTCTTAGCAGTGGTGCTAGGCTGAACTACGCATGCTTCTTTGAACTGTCCTTTCAGGAAAAGCATGAGTGAGCGAAGGCAATGACATCCTATCTTACAAAGATGCCACCTACAGGACAGAAAACTCAACTCACAAATATTAAATATGAACGAGGCTTCCTGAAGCAATCTGTTGTGAACTCAAGCTTCGAAAACAACCGCTGAGCAAGATCATCCTTATTACTTTTACTGTAGAGCAATTTGTTGAAACCAGATCCCAAAACGAAGCATTCATGATCCAACACAAGACAGTTTCGACCCGCCATATGTTTCATGAATGGTGCTGGCTAATTGGTCGGAAAACCGCTTTCTGTGGTTGGATCACGAATGCTTCACCTCTAGACTCTAGTTTCAACCTTTTGCCTCCCAGTGAGACAAAATACCAATATCGGCCGCAGGTCGATGTCGAAACTTGGCTTTGCAACAGACCGTGTTGACTCGATAGGTAGAATTTGTAACTTCTGATGTAAAATGGATCTTTAAAAAATTTCTTTCTCACCAGAGCAAAAAACTGTCCACAGAGAGACAGTTTCTGGTGTGGCAAGTGTTTTCAATAGAGACCGTGTTGGGAAGCTACGTTTATCTTCATCTTTGATATTCGTTGATGATTGAATCTTCTGTCAATTCCATCAATGATATCTTCGTGAGAAAAAATGTATTTATCTTCATGAAGGAAAGAGAATTGAAACTTTCTATGTTTTTTACCACTTTTATTTCTAACTAACGTTACTGCAGTTTCATCCAATAAGGACATTTTCAAGCTTATACATAAATTAAACTAACAATGGTTTATTACATTACCCTTTTTATAGCACCCCTGTAGGTAATAATAGAGGTACTTGCCTTGATTGAGTGCCTGAATTTACAATTTACAATATGAGTGTGCTAATTTGAAACGGAGATAGAGAAACTGATAAATTTCTTAGACTTGATCATTGCACACAACCAGAATAAATTTGAGGTCAATGTTTTCAGAAAACCTAGCTATACAGACATTACCATCCCAAGCGATTATTTCCATCCAGACAGTCATAAATTACCAACCTATAATTCAATGTTGCACAGAGCATTCTCACTGCCTTTGTCTGCTAATAATCTAGCTAGCGAAATTGATATAATTACACAGATAGGTCATAATGATGGTTTCAACACAGATATTAGTATCTAGACGTTAGTCAGAAAACAAAGCCGTAAATTCCATGTACCTAGAACATCCATGGTAAATTCACTTACAGATTAATATACCCTCAGGTCAAACGACCAGAAATCAAGAAATGGGTTACTCTAACATATTTTGGAGAAAATTGTGGGTTTCTTGAGAAAAAACTATGTGGAAGTGTTATTCAGACCACCTGCCAGGTTATCTGATTTCCGTTCCAATGCCAAAGATAAGTTGGACAAGTTGGAGAAATCTGGAGTTTATAAGCTTAAGTGTCCGGAGTGTAATAGTGTTTTTGTGGGGCAATATGATCGAAATTTCCAAAAACGGTATGCTATGTTATAAACCATTGTTAGTTTACTGAAAAAGTTTGAAAATGTCCTTATAGGATGAAACTGCAGTAACGTTAGTTAAAAATAAAAGTGGTAAAAACATAGAAAGTTTCAATTCTTTTTCCTTCATTATGATTTTCTACCACGTAGTAACGGCTACATCCATCAATTTATTTACCTTTACTTACTCGGGTTGTTTTTTAAGGACAGTTGAGCCCAGTAAGACCAGACAAATGGCCGATCGAAACATCGCTGTCTGGATTTGAAATGCTTTGGTTTTAAGATGTGGTTCCAAAAAGTTATATTTCATTGAAAGCTGCCGAGGAATACAGAGAAATAATTTCAGTGATCGATACTGAAGTTTGGCTTTGCATCGTACTGCCTTGCTAATCCTCGATTATCTTTGATACCCGCGGATTGAGTCTTCTGGCGATCATCAAATCGACTTTGAATAGTAAAGAAGGAATTCAGAGGTCCAACTACACAACTTCGATCAATTGAAAATATTTGAAAATCAATGGCTACTTCTTAGGCCAATAACGAAATATGTTGTAATGATGCTAAAGATGTCCTTGATCAAATAAATATAGTTATACATGATAAGATCATTTTTTTGGAAGATGTCATTTTTGAGGATCTATTATTGGATTGGAAAATGAGATTTGGAAGTCATGTTATCAACGTTTTTACAGAACGGTCTTTTATCTGCTGCACCTTACCTGGGCTTCTTCTTCATAACTGGTATATGTGGGGTTTTGGCTGACTACGTCATAAATAAGGCAATATTTTCTATATCAACTACAAGAAAGATTTTCACAGCATCTGGTAAGTTCACAATCGATTGGTTTGTTTTGTTAATCACAGTTATCTAATTATACCAATTTGTAGACGAGAAAAAAAACTATTCTAGATAAGGCTAGCATTCAATCAAAAATCTGATGGTTTCCATATCATCAAGTGATATATAAAAATCAGTTTTGTAACAGAGCCACATACAAATGAAATTAATGGTTGAATATTTTCTCATATACCTATCTTTCTTGAACTCCCTGAAAAATTATTCGATTGGAAATATGTATATTTTTACTTTCCTGAGGTTTTACAAATTTGAAAACCTGCAGCGTATCTGTTTCTCCTCATTTGGTACGCTATTTCATAAAAAACTATGTTGAAACTTCGTTTAAATACATGCGGAGGTGGATGTGGAGGTTCGTTTCATACGGAGATTCTTCACTTACGGAGGCAGAAGTGAGGTTCTTTTACAACCCTGATGACAATGAAGTCAAACATGATGAAGCCTGAAAAATGTTGATTATGCTAGAAACTTGAGGATTTTTATAAGATGCTGGTGACTACTTTGAATTCATTATTCATATTCATGTTTTCTGTTTTTGTGAGGAATATTTATTCATCGTTACACTGTGATTACGGTTTATGTTGATTTGTTCATTTTCCTCTAATGAACATGTGTGTTCATTGAAAAATGAATGGGTTATGAGTTCGAGTAGACTTTGGATTGTTGATAAATTGTTCATAAAGCAGATGACACTCAGAGAACAGAATATCGGAACTACACAGATGCAAAAGTAAAGTCGGCACCTTTGATGTTGTGTGGGCAAATTTCAGTAATCTTGAAATCATATGTTGAGTGAAATCATGCTTCACATACTGAGTAAAATTACTATGTTCATCATTCAAATATAAAACTTGCTACACACAGAAAAGTAATTCAAAACAACATTAATACTTCATGACGGTGTAAACGGTTGAATGTTTTGATGAATAATTTAAAGAGGCATTACATAATTCATTTCTCAAATCTGAAAGAATGAATACTCAAACAAGAAATACTTCAAAAATACTAGTACCATTCAATATTACTGACTCTCAAGAGTATCTGTGGTTCCGAACCAAAGCCATTTCATTTATACACTTGAAACATACGTCACTGGTCTTTCGGAAAGAATAATATTTTTTTTTGTAGTTCCTTCTTGGTTATATTTGGAAAAATATCCACGATAAAAGCACACAGTACCACATATCGATGCCATTTCAGAATCATTGTTAGAAAATAAGTAAAGTAATCAAGACAACTAAATTTCACTGCTTGGTGCTTAGGTGAAGACGTAACTATTTATTTATGTGAGAGTATCTTTCATATTAAATATTACTGGAGTTTTTTCCCCAACACCAAATCGATTTGGTGTTGGGAAAAAACACCAAAGGTTCCAAACAGTACATCATAAGTATCTTTCATATTGAATGAACGCCGTAGTGAAACAATTCACGATTTCAGTAATCAGTATCCTTTGACTATGTAGAAGTAAAAGAAATGATACATTAAAATGATCATTGATAACACCTTCAATTGAAATTCTGTCCAAGTCCATTGGAAATTCTGCCTCTCGATGAGAATCTAATTTGTTTCTTGAATGGAAAAAATCTAAATTTTGAAATATTTCTGAAATTTCTGAAATTGTTGAAAACTAATGACAAAATTCATATACTACATGTTTTTGAGCAGATTCGTGTAAAATTTCATTCCAGTGAAGTGAAATTAACTTTCAACGCCTCCATCTTTGGTTTGAAAGCAATTGCAGGTAGAAAACACGTAATGATTAGGTATCATATGGGTAGCAAATAACATTAGGGACTAGGAATTGATTTGATGCCCCCCATTATGTAAGAAAATGGTTAGTCGGTCGGTTTGACGTGGGAGCTTTGTTCACCTACTTGAATTTACTGCCGTGTCGGTCGGTGGTTCAAGCCCTAGGCTGAACGCTCGATTTTCACTTGCTATCGTCCAACCCGTATTAGGAATCACACGTTAAAAGGTAAGACCTCGTTAATCCCTGGCTCGCACAAGTTTCGACTTCTGGGGGTTATCGTTCGTAGGGGTGCGACAGCTGGTTAATGCAAAAACAGATTTAAAACAGATTTTTTGAACATTTGAAAACATAAACTCAGCTGTTGCAAGTCGTCTTAGTCATTTCCTATTGACGCTAACTTGTTTAACGAAACCCACGTCAAAAGAGAGTTTTTTCATTCTGTTGATGAGAACGTGCTTTGAATAGATGCATTCGAATCAAGATTACGGAGAACATCTTTTGTTATAAAATTTGTTGGGAATGATGTAATAAGTCTCTAGATCATGAATGCCAAATTATTTATGACTGTAGTCTCACAAAACAGTTAAATCGTCCCAGCATTCCTCTCTGATAATATTTGGCCTACCTAAACGTTATTTTGAAATTGTGACCCAATGTTGTAAAAAAGTTGTTGTACGGAGTGGGCCAAACTGGACGCTTTTAAAGGGAAACTCCTAGATAGATGAAAACTGATGACTTTGAAACGCACACTTTGATCAAGTAGGTTTTGGACGATGCTGTGATGAAACAGAATGCAAATCTTTACTGGTAGCTGTTAATTTATAATGCAAGAAGTAAAGATGAAGTATGAGAATTATGAAAAATAGGATATGGTAGTCTGTTTCATACAAACCGGGGAAGATGCAGAAGCAGCAAGCAATTCATATCACTAGATATATCCAGAAAAAAGACAACCTTCTTGAGACATTTTTGCAAGATTGCGACACAACCTATTTATGGTAGCCAAATAATTTTCATTGATTTCTCATTTGAAAAAACAAGTTTCTTACATGTTTTTGACACGAAAAAAGTTATAGCAATTTTCAGAAAATGCATATTTTCGAAAAACATGCTGTAACTCAGAAACTATGATAGATATCAATATGCGGTGTTCATTATTAAGTTTGTCATAAGATGTAAACCTCAGACACGGCCATCAATTTTCATCTATAAGAGTGTCCAACTCGGCCCACTTTGTTAACCTTGTAGTAACCCTAGAAACTGTTTCAATAAATTTAAAAGCAGTGGATTCATGGATATTTATTATATCTGCAGTTTATTGAAGATGACCAGCACCCAACTATAATATCTTAAACAGCTGGTCCATGGGAGAAGCACTATTTCTTCTAATATGATTGAATTGAACTGGGCGATACTTGATGAAAATCCATATTAAAAACGACTTAATACAGTTTATTATATTATTTTCATTATAATGCAGCGTAACTTATGTTATTGGTATTCAACCGGACGAATCTCTGGAACACTTCTTTCAAACATTGGTTGAAAAACCAAATGTTCTGATTTAAAATGGAACACTTTAGAAGTAATTTAAAATACCACAAGGCCAAAAAGCCGATAGTAGCTTTCTTCAATAATAGAACAGAACTGGCTGATACTTGATGAAAATTCATATTAAAAAACTAATTTGTATGATTTCCACTATATAATGAAAATCATACAATGTACTTTATTGATTAGTTTTTTTTCTCCTAATATGCATATTATATAGCTTCATAATGAATAATTAATTACATCATTCATTGTTTGGGATTAATTTGGTAGATCAAAAACTTTTTGACGAAAACCATATTCATTGTTCCATTTTGTTTCACGTCGTCAATAAAATCACCAAAATATTATTCGCAAAAGTTAAATTCTCACAAATGAATATAAACCTAACCTCAAAAGAATTTCAAGGGATTTCTCTAGTGGTTCCTTGAATATATGTTGATAGAAGTGTCCATTAGACAAATACATCTCACACTTATTGTTTCAGCAAGTGTTATACCAGCTGCAGCACTAATGATCCTTAGTTTTCTACCGGATGATGCAAGAGCTTTATCTGTTACGATGTTGATAGTGGCGATTGCTTCAAATGCGGGAATAAATGCTGGATTCAATGTGAATCACATCGATCTTTCTCCAAAATATGCCGGCATTTTGGTAGCTTTAGGCAATTCTTCAGGAAATGTATTTGCAATTCTGGCTCCTCTCCTTGTACAGGTGATATTAACTGATGAGGTAAGTGAAAAATACAGAAAGTTTATGGAAGATGACTCAAAATGATGCTAATAGTAAAAAAGCTATAGTGAGTGGTAATATAACAATGATGATATAATGATAAACATACATGAGTACGATAGATATCCACAAAACTAATTGCAGTAGGTATCGATGATGAAAAATATTAGGTTTATCTTCTCCTCTCTAATATATCATTAAATCTGAGTATTTTTTTTCATGTAATACATTCATTATTTCGTAACTCCTTCAATCAGTTACTTTGAGTTTTCACTCTCTTGTGAGTAATAACTGAGTATTTTTGGAGTTCATACTGCGCCAGAAGCTTTCACGAAGATAAAACTATGATTTACTGTGACGATTATGTCATAGTACTGTTCTCATTTTCAGGCCAAACATTGAATACCTGGAATTGGTTCTGATACTAGTGAGAATTTGAGTTTCATCAGATCAGAACCCATAATTGACTTCGTCAAACAAATACGGAATATCAAATTTCTGCCAAAATCTACCAGGGTTGCCCTATTTCAGGGATTTTATGCATGAAGCATGTTACTTACCAATTAATTGTTAGACGATAGCAGGGATAAACCACATTGTCTAACAGATCCTATTTTGGAATGTGGAACTGGCATAGAATAAATCCAAAATAAGCACTGCTCCCAAACATCAGAACTGAAAATGAACATGAGATGAAGTACAGTGTATATATAATCACTGTAGCCAACAGTTCAGTCTTTTTGAAATGAAGAACTGACCTCTACTGATTCAACACTTTTTGACAGTGTAAAATTTGCAAAAGCATTTCAATGGTCACATTTTTCGTATGTCATCAGAACACAATCGGTTACAGAGTTTTCCCATTTTCTATGTCGATTAATTTTTGTTTTCAATATGCTAACCCGAAGTCTTCATAGTACATTTACAAAACAAAAATCAGAATCAGCTTAAATCTAAAATATTTAGAATTGACATTCGCTATTAAAAGATTAGAAAAATTTTTATGAATCATTTTGATGAATGAAGTACGAAGTGATATTTTTATTACTCCACATTTCATAATTTTTATGTAGCTCGTATCGGATGGCTTGACAATTTTCATTTTTTAGTTCTCATTGGTGATTTCTACCCTGAAGTGGGATTGATTTTGGTCATTTAAATTTTTTGTAACATGCATTAGATTTTTGCAAAGGTTTCAAGATATTTTTTCTTTGACACTATATCTGAATGAGCCGGGTGTCACACTTGAACATATTTGGAAAAATATTGAACCAATTCTGACGAAACTTGAACCGTTCCTGGAGGCGAAGTAAATGTAAGCTATTATAAACAATAATCAAAATCCGACCATCCAAAAATTCGTGTACAAACATACATATGAATATACATACTGAAATACACTTATACAATTGTTGTATATTTGACATAGATGTTACATTCTTAAATGTCGAATTGATAACCTCCTTATCCTAAGTTGCTGATAATACTAACTAACTACTACCATGATCATGATCCAATATTTATTTTTATTTCAGACTGACAAATCATTATGGAGGATAATTTTCGTAACTTCAGCTGTTTGGTATTTAGCGTCAAGTGCATTTTATGTGATGTTTGCTGCTGGAACAGTTCAGTGGTGGAACGATGTTGACGAAAAACCGAAGAAAGACGACAAAACTGATTCTGTACGTGATATTCCGATTCGAAAAATGTCGACTATAATAAATACTTGATTATTTTCAATGTGGTTTCATTCAGTCTATCAACATTACAAGTGTATATTACCGGATTTTTTTCCCAACACTTAACCTTTATTTTAACACCTGTACACGTGTTTCGATCATCAAGTGATCATCTACAAGAGGAAGACCGAACTAATCATACTAACAAATCTATCCTATTTTATACCATAGATACTTGTTCTTGGTACCTGTGCCTAACATAAATTCAGATATCCTTCATCAATACTTGCATTTTCAGGATGTGCGTGCCTAATAAATCAGGAACAAATCTCCCAACCAGTAGTATAAAATATTCATAAACAGTATGTGGTCTTCAAAATTGAGAAAACTGGATGAACTTGAGAAAAATTCATAAATAATTGAGCAAAATACATGCATTGAAACAATTTATGTCCCCTAAACTTTTTTAGTTTTTCAGTGTCATTATGAAATGAATGAATTTTTCTAATGAATGGTAAGTCAATGGATAGTGTGAATAAAAATTGAGTTTATATTCACAGCATTGTGTCTGAGATCCTAACTGAAATCTGTTTGTTCGAGCTATTGCTCAAAAGTAACCTTTCACTTCTTTAACAGTTGAAACCAGATCCCAAAAACAAAGCATTCATATTCCAATACCAGACAGCTCCAGTTGAAACCATAGTTCCCATCAGGCTGAACGACAGATACATTGCTGGACTCAGCTGTCATGAGTGAGTTGAGGACAAGCCTGAGTGTGTTGAAGCTTACAGTGAAAGTTTTTGTGAAAGACAGAAAACCAATTCAGTTCAGCGGTTAATGTCGAAATTTTGGCTTGGCAACAGGCTGCCTAGCGGAACCTCGTTTATGTTTTTTATTGTTGTCTGTCGATCCTAAAGATGGCGTTTCCGTGAGAGAGAATATTACTTCCACTCATTCAGTCTATCCTTTGAGGCGAGTTGAAGCCAACGTACATTCGCGATACAACAGCGCTGTCTGCTGATGGATCGTGAATGCTTCATTTTTGGATTCTGATTGCAACTAGTGAAAGATATTTTATAAAATAAAAAACGAGTCTTGTTCGGGTATTAATGTGGAAGCTTGCAAACAAACCCAATATAAAGAACATAGTTTCAGACTGTTTATCCTATATCCTATCAACTACTGGTTTCACAAAGTCACCACACTGATTGAAATCAATATGACAAATATTTTTGTAAACAACTTTTTCATATTTTTTTATTCTATCAATATGAGCTAGGTTAGTGACCAAATGATGAAACTTCCATCTCAAAACTATGAAATATATTATTTCCATAAGATTTCGTAATGCAAAAATTGATAGTGCGGTATGCAGACATTAATGACAGAAAAACCTGATTCTGCTAACAAACATGACTCAATCTAGAAACTTTATACCTTTG